CTTGTATGAGCTATGAGAACAGCACCGTTTAAACAGGGACTGCACGAGGAGAAATGTGCTTGTGCATGCTCTCGCACACGCATGTTTTGTGGAGTGGGCGGGTCTGAGGATATCCGATAATATCGACCGGCTGAGATTATTGGCTGATATTAGCATAATTATGTAATATCTGTCTATATCGTTATCGGATTTTCCCCCGATATGAAAAGCCGATGATATAGATTTTGTGAAATATGTCGGAATTAGCGCTTCCGCCAAGAGGCAGCGCACCTGGATGACATCTTTAAACCCACCACACAAATAAAAAAAGAAGAGGAAGTCGTCATGAAACTGCCCCGTCCGACTAACTCTGTAGCAGAAGGAAGATAATAAACAAAAGATGTCTGCGGTGTAGAACTTTCTCTAAGTATCAAGTGATGACTTGAAGTTTGCGATTTGCAATGAATGTGAGGTCCTTGTCATGTGTGCTGGAACCAAGACTTCATCCTTTAACACTTCAGATTTAATATCTCACTTAAAGCAGCACCACCCGGAGAAACAGCGTTTCTTCAGCAAAGTAAAGCCGAGCAACCTGGAAACAACTTGCGGAAAAAAGCAACACAGCTTTCTTTTAAAGACTCATGGTGGAAGATACAGGATTCAAAAAACTTCTCAAATTCCTCGAGCCCTGCTTCCACATGCCAAGTCGCAGGTATTTCTCTGAAGCTGTTCGCAATCGCTTTCATGGTGCTCAAGATGAACCACTCTATATCATTGCAACAACGGTTGAAGTGGGATGCCCAGACTATGCTGCAGTGTGTCGTTGATGAAACGGCTGATGCCAGAGCACATCACTCAGACCAGGAGGATGCAAACCCACCATCAAACAAAGCCTGAAATGAGAGCCTGCAGAACATGTACCAAGGAACGTTTACAGAGAATGACACACAGCAACCTGCAGCGGGTGTAACTGCTACACAGGTGAGTTAATCATTTATAAATAAGTAGAAACAGAAATAATTAATCATATTATTAACTTCTAATAAATGTAATCGAACATTTGAGTGAAGAATGTCTGGTTCATAAAATGTAGGTTTTTGCAAAAGAACTGAAATACACAATTATGGATACAATTTCTGCAGGAAGGAGAGACAGTTGAACCCCAGACTCAAACACACTGTCTCCCACTGGACCTCCTCTGCAGAGCGTTTTATTAATAGAACATGAAACATGGTTACAAACAGAGTATTGTTCTGACAGAACAATTGATCAGTTCCTGAAGACAGAATGCTCCATCAGAATGACAAGGCAGGATGGTCTCCTGACTGAATCATGAGACAGGAGTGGAGCATCCCTTTGCACAAATGTTTTATAAGCACACATTCATTTCATAATCATCACTGAATAAACCTAATAAAAAAGTTGTTCTAAAATATGGAACCTGTTCGTCATCGCGGGGTTCCTCTAATGTTGATTCTTTCTTCACACAGTAAATAAGTGGTTGTCTGCAGCCACTTCAGATCATCCTAATATATGGTTGTTATTAAACGGTTATCAGTCCCATAGAATGGCTTCAGATTTTAGGCTCATTAGATTGTTATCATCGAGTGAATCCTTATCCTAACCCTAAAGTAATTTCTTTTTTCCCGCAGAATTAATGAATCTATTTATGTTTAATCTGAAAATAATCTCAGTAGCTCTTCTTGTAGCCACTGGAAAAATAAATAAAAATAAAATGATCCACATGTTGTTCATATAAAAAACTTGTCAACTGAATCCTCTCCCTATAAATATTTAATTCTCTATGAAAAAAAGGCTGAATGTTCTTTAATAAGATGCTCATCAAATGGTTATGCCACCTAATGAGTCTAGTAAATGTTTTTTTCTATGCACAAACCGACACCAAAAATCTCCTGACTCAATCAGGAAATAAAACAATCTGATTGGCTGTAAGGAGAGCGGAGACGGAATCCACTCTGAGTTTACTGAAGAAAACCTGCTGATGACCAGGTTAGCTCTGAGGAGAATGTTGCTATGGTGACCAGAACAGAGTCTCTCTTTGTGAAATGGAAAAGTCAGAGTTTCCCTGATTTCAGGTTTAGAAAACAAGTTTTCAGCAAACCTGCTTTGTGAAACGAACCCCAGGATGAAAACCGAGCCTGACCAATTGGAGATGTTCCTCACAGGTGACATCAGAAACCGGATGTAAAGGGATGTTTCTGGCTTCTTCACACACCGTACACTTCTTTGCTTTGGGTCAGAAACCCTGTGGGCGACTTTCCATCCAGCTGTTTTCAAATTACTTCCAGGAAAAAAGAACACAGAGTGGAAACTCCAAAAAAAACTTAGAACATTTTACAGTCAGAGGAATGAGAGGAATCTGATTCCTTCATCTGGGTCAGGTCTGAAACACCCAGCATTCAGAACCACTAGAATACTGTGAGAATATATTCAGGTTTCTATAGACCAGTCCAGATTTTACAAGTGATATAAACATATGGGCCAAACACTGATACCACATCATAGATTAAATGTTTCCTTAAACCCTCTTTTATGCCGATATAAGGTGAGGAAAACCACTTCTCTGCTAACATCATCTTTCGCTTTCGTTAAACACCCACAATCCTTTGCTGTAACATCGACTGCTCTACTCGATCCGCACTATCAGTTCATTGGCACAGTCAGAATCCATCCAGGTCACCATTGATTGTTCAAGAACCCACTTTGAGAAGGTTTATGGAAGAAGCTGTTAGACCTAAGAGTGGGCGAGTCACAGCGCCACCAGTTCATTCATAGGTACTGCAGCGTGCTGCAGGGCCATGTGGACGTGCATCTTTCTCTGAACCCTAATTAAAAAGACGTATTTTTTGATTTAGTATGGACCAAACCTTAAAGTGACAGAACCTGGGTTAGAACATTAGATCATTTTAGCTGACGTTATGTCATCTGGTACCAATCTGTCTGTCAGTCCAGCAGATGGTTTACTTTACAGCATCTCACCTCCGAACTGTTCAAATCAAAACTTCAGGCCTAAAAACATCATTTATAACTTCAATCTAAAGCCAGCAGATAAGAAATAACGACTAAATATATTATATTAATAGAATTTATTAGAATTAAAGGGGAAGTCCGCTCATATTCAGAATTCAAACTTTAAATATGAAATGATTCCATCCTGTTAAATGATCAGTGTTTTTAATTAAGAGTAATTTTCATGTGAATGTGCTTTACTGGAGGCATCCATGTTTGTCAAAGAACACTACTGCCACCTACTGGTTAGTGACGTCACGGTGCGGTATCGGCTGTTGCTCAAGTCCCAGTGCTGTATCTGGTGTTTGTCACAACGTGCTATTATCCAAGTCATCTTGGAAACATTCTTCTTCCAAATGTTAGCTACATATTACGGGTTTTTTCTCTGGCCAGAAGTTCGATGGCAAATCCTCCCTCTTCAAGTTGGCGATCCAACGACCAACCCGTCCGTGGAGGATCAGGAATTTTACCCGATGTATTCCAGCATCCAGCTGCCATGCACGTGGGCATTGTCAGTTTCACTATAGCTCTGGTGAATTTCAATGGTGAAGTCCTCTGGAAATCTTCAATAATTGTTGTTGATTGCAGATGTGTCTAGTAGTTCCCATTGATTTAGCTTGTAAAGCGGGGAGAATGGCGCTAGGCTTACCGCACCGTGACGTCACTGCTGGAAGATGGCAGGAGGGAGGGGCTACTATATTTGGGCAAAAATGGCCGCTCCCAGAGTCAGTGATTGTGATGAAAATTATTATTTTTATTGTTTTACTGATTAACGCTAATTCATTAAATCAATGGCAACGTATTAGTTTTAGGTATAAATAATGATCCATTGATTATTCCTTTCTGACCGGACTTTTCCTTTAAATGATTTAAGCAATAATTAAATCATATATCTACATTGTTTTAATGTTACAATCAAAACCAGCCACCGCTCAAAAGAAAAAGGAAGCAGATCTTGTTCTCTTGTGTCTGGTTGATTTATGCATTGATTGATATGAAGGCTAATCTGTTACGGTTTTTTAAAGAAAAGACCCGAAAACAGATTAAGAACCGTTGCAGTGTAACTTGATCAACAGGGAGTAAAAAGCTCACAGGTAGGAGAGGATTCCCAGAAGCCGAGTAAAAGCCGTGAAATCTGATAAACTCAGTGATAAGCCACAGTTCTGTCAACAACAGAACCAGTTTTATTTAGACCCACAGCCTCTAAGTGGCAGGAACATTTTAAATAAACTAATGTCATTCTGCTAAACAAACTAATCTCATTCAGCCTTCTTGTTCCAACTAAACTTTGTTTTCAGAGTTTCCAACCTCTATGAGTTATTTCAGAACATGAAGGAACCCATCATATCCAAGTTACATAAGCAGAATGGTTTATGTAAAAAGAAATATTCCATCCTTTGTCCATTTTTGATGTGATTATGTGTTTTTCTGACTATCCTACCACTCTTGGCTGAAGAGATTTGTTAAAGATAGTTAAAAAAAGTTTATTATCATCATAATTGTATTTTGAAAATTCCAGAGTAATTACAATTACAAACTGCTACATTCTGAAGGCTAAATGTTAAGCTCTATTGAGCAACATAAATCAAATGAATCCAAATCAAAAGCATAAAGATGTTGCTTCACCATCAATTACCACAGTATAGGCTTAGTGGTAACATTAATAATGTAAAGGAAGTTCATGATTCAAACATTATGGCACAATACTAACAGAACAATGGCTGCAAAGGCATAGATACACATACCGGTATATGTATTGTGGTGTTGTCATATAATCCCGGGGTAAACATAACTTCTGCCTTTTTCATGGAAAAGCAGCTGTGCTTCTTTGCATGCATGCCTACAACCACACCTACTTTCATCAATCAGAAACTAAACCTGTCTACCTTATTTGTTTTATAAAACCCAGATCATCTCTGATTGGTTCACTCTCTGGAAATACCTTTGCTCTGACTGGATCTGCTTTGGTCATTTGTTTATTTTTAAGCCCTTCTTTTCATTCAGTTCAAAAGCCAGTTTCAAACACGTTGTTTTTTTTTTCTCAGCTGAATATTTCAATAGTTTCAGCAACAATGTCTTCAATTCAGCGTCTGAGGGAGTTTATCAGAGAGCGACTAACTGCTGCTGCTGAAGAAATCTTCACAGAGGTTGAAAAAACCATCGTCCGCCACGAGGAAGACATCAGACTGATGGAAACCTGTTGGAACCCGCAGATAAAACTCCACAGAATCGGTAGGTATAAGTGGAGGGTTCTCCAAATCTTGTCCTGATTTCTAAGATTTCTGAGCCTAAATATCTCTGCAGGATGAAAACATGCAGAGCTAGAGAGTAGTTTATATTTGTATGACTCATCCTGCTGCAGGGTGTTAACAGCAGTTTACAGCACAGCCAGTTATTTCTTTTAAAACAGGTTTTATTTGGATACAATCCTTTACATCTCAAGTAATAAATATCCATATTAGAACAATATCGGTTTGTTTTCAGTCTGAAATTAGTAAAAAGTTTTTTTTTCTATGTTTTGTTCAAAGTTACAATTCCGACCCGTCTCCTTTTCCCTCCTTTCTTCCTTGTTGATCCAGACTTCGCTGAATGATTTCACTATTTTAACCTGTTTTTTCTTCTTATCATTAATGCTTCAGTCTTTCTATAATTTTTTTTCATGCCGTTTAATCCTCAAAATTTTGGCTGCTCTGATCTTCCTCAACTTTCAAAAGTCCAACTCTATGTATCTCTGCTTCAGAAACATACTGTACACAAAATTAATTTCATCACATTGAATGTTTCTGTTGGATCTACTTTTTTCTTCATAAAATCTGATGGGTCGTTACAATCAACTGCTCCTCTCTGCACAATTAGCTCTGCTATTATGGACTCTCCTTAATCTGATTGGTTCCGGTGATGTTATGCACCTCAGAAATCCTCCAAACAAAGCAGAAAAATGATCTAAATCTGTTCTCAGCTGTTTTATAAAATAGGTACAACAGTCACGTGGAGAATTGTTTCACAGAGTATTAAAAAGGCGCTGTTGGTCTAGAACCCAGGTTCTAACATTCGACCAGAGAACGTGGGAGTTCTGTCCATGTACTGTAGTGTAGTGAAAAAAGATCCAATCAATGTGAAACCAACAACCTACTAAGTATTAAGTGTCAGGAAGATAAGACGTGTTTTAAATAAAGATTTAATGTCTCTCATACATGTAAGCATCACCACTGATCAAATACAGCAAAAGTTCAGTTTGTCTAAGATGGCCGTCTTCTAAACAAATATCCTCATTTTGATGTCGTGTTTACTTTCTCAACTTCTACTGTTCAGTTTATACTAGTTCATATTATGGCGCCGCAAGTTCTGCCTGATTCAAAAGGGAAATTCCCATTAAGAAGTTCCTTCCAGTAACTATATAGTGATTTTATCTCTTGGACACAGAGCATGCCAAAGCTGTTCAAAGACTGTGTTCATGGTAAAGACCAGGAAAACTGATTTTGAAAAACAAACCACAACTGGTTTGTTTGAAAAACAAGAGACATTTTATGGTGAAATATTAACCGTTTCTTAAACATATGCCTTCTTATAAAACATATATTTATTTTAATAACTATGACTTTACACGTCATATATCTCTGTTTAACTGCCCAAAAGTCAGGAATCTCTCATTTCCTCACATTTTCCTTCCCAGCAGCCAGATGTTACTATAATCTGTAATCAATATATTAAAAGGTTTATACCCAAAGTCAAACCGTGTCTTTTCAGTGAAACGCCTTTGTTTCTCACTATTCTTCTTCATCTGTATTCAGTGAAGTGTTCATCACTATCCTCGGCCACTGCTGCCATCTCCTCTCTGGTTTTTATATCTGCAGGAAGCTCTCCTCCTCTTCCAGGCTAGAGGGTAAAACTAGAGCAAAAGACACATTGAACCAACAATTAACTTTTAAACACTGCTCTGTTTCTGTCCCTGGGTTGTGTGGCAGAGGCGCTGCTCCTCTGTCTAATTCCTTCTTTTCTATTTTGGTTGTTTTGCCAGTTGAATTAAATAAGTAAGGTTTATTTATATAACACCTTTCTCAGACAAGCGTCACAAAGTGCTGAACAATATCAGAAAAAGAAAATACAAAACAGCACCATATAAAATTCATATAGACAAATGCATACAGTCATTGATAAAATGAGTGTAAAATGCTGGAATTCGCCAAGAGCAGGTATAATAGAGCAGTATATAGAGCAGGTAGGGCATTCCACAGTCTGGCTGTGACAGCTTGGAGGGACCAATCATCTCTCTTCCTAAACCGGGTTTGAGGGCCATTAACAAGTTTTTTTCAGCAGATCTCAGACTGCGAGTAGAAAAGTGAGGCTGAATCAGGTCACAGATATAAGCGGGGGCCTGTCCATGCAGGGAAAGGTCAGGACCAGAATTTTAAAGTTTAATAAGTATTCAATGGGAAGCCTGTGTAGAGCTTTAAAAACAGGAGGAATGCGAGCTCTTCTGGTTGGACGTGAATTTTGGACTAGCTGCAGTTGAGCTAAGCCTTTTTTGTTTAGACAAGCGAACATGCTATTGCAGTAGTCCAAACGTGATGACACATGCATGAAACAGCATCTAAAGGTCATTTTCATTTAAAAAAAATCCTTACTTCTGCAATGTAAGGCAGCAAAGAGAAAGAGGTTTTTATCAATTGTTTTGTGTGCTGCTCCAGAGACATTGCCTCATCAAATAAAACTCCAATGTTTCTCAAAGTGTGTTTTGTCACCTGGTTCAATTCAATTCAATTCAGTTTATTTATATAGCGCCAAATTCACCACACATGTCATCTCAAGGCACTTTACAGTTCAACCAGATCAACCAGTCAAACCTGGTTGAAGTCGTATAAGTGCTGTTTAATGCCCGGAATGACTTTGCCTGGGGCAATCATGAGTCTGAGTTTTTTTCTGAATTTTTAGGTTATTGTCACTAAACCACTTTTTTATTTGGGAAAAACATTTGATCAGAGAGTTTAATTTGTGAACCTCAGATGTATTAATGGAGCAGCAGAGCTGAATGTTGTCTGGAAACATGTGAAATGAGACATTCTCAAAGTGCTGAATAACCCTACCTAATGGGAGTGCATAAATCATTAACAAAATATGTCTTAGGGCAGAACCCTGACGTAGTCCACATACTAGTTTATCAGGATCAGACATGATATGATTTGCATGCACATAAAATCTCTTTCCAGCCATATCTTATGAGAACCACTCTAACACTGGTCCAGTGATCCAAACCACATCACTCAGCCTGTTTATCAAAGGATGAGGCGGTCAACTGTATCAAAGGATGAGGATGGTCTAGCAGAACCAGGGCAGTACATTTACCTGAGTCGGCAGACATCAGGATGTCACTTGAAACTTTAAGCAGGCCGTTTCAGTGGAGTTGTGTCTCTGGAAACCAGTTTAAAAAAGCATTGTGTGTCTTATTTGCCTCTAGGAAATATATGACCTGTTTTCTACATCACCCTTTGATTTTGGCCAAAAAAGGAAGTTTAGATATTGGCCTATAAATAATAGTTTTGGCTTGATCAAGGCTGGGTTTTGGTTCCATAATCCACTTTCTAAAAGCAGCCAATCACAAAAAAATGTTGAAAGGTGAGCCCACCTTAAAATCGGATAGATAAAGTGATAAAATGACCAGCATGGAGAGGAAACAGAGAAATAAATAGATTCAAATAATACTGGGGATTTAAGGTTCAAACATTTTGATGTTGTGGGGCAATTATTTATTTTAGAAGACTTTCTTCATTTGGAGGAACGTTTCTTAATCAAGTCTGAAACGATTCTGTAAAATTCCCTCCAATTACTATAGGGGTCCATTTGTGTGTTTTGCGTTATCAACCAATAACAGCTTTTAAAGACACACCCAGCAAAGGGATCAACAACAGCTCCTCACGAAGATGCACATTCTCTCATCTCCGTGGCCCTTTGAGGTTAAAACTAAATTTTCAGTTTACACAGGAACTCTGAAAGACTGAGGTTCTTTGTGAGTATAGGAAAAAAATTAAAACTAGGTTAAAACTAGACAAGGTCAGCAGCACACCACCCCAACTACAACAAGAAACCAGCACTGAGTGACTGTAGATGTGAGTATATAGTGGGAACAGAACAAAGTATGGCAGAGGAGCTGATGTGGAGCTGGTGTGAATAGAAATAACTAGAAGAGAACCAAGGGGCAAGAAAAAGGCGCAACGGGGCAACAGAGATTAACCCAAGAAATACAAAACTGACAGAAAACAACTACAAAGACACAGAATAACAAAGAAACTGAAAACAAAACAGCGGACAGAACCCTGAGAGTGGAAGTTGAATGTGTTCTTTAAATAGTAGCTTTCTGACATAAAAACATGAGTATTGCACAATGATTTAATGAAGCTTCCTATGGGAACCTAAAGCTTGCAACACAGCACGGTTTGAACAGTAATACATCTTTTTTTCACCAAATGAAAATTGTTGCCACAGTTTTTCCCTACAGCATCTAACCGACATGCTTAGTGCCTAACTGACAGCTCGGCTCAGTATGCTGTTAAACTTGCTGGTCTGTTTTCCTCTGTCTAACATGCAAATTAGTTTCTGTCTCCCCTTAACTTGACTTCCTTTCTCAAACCCCTGATGTCCATTATGGAATATTATACACCTCACTCCAGCTATTACAGCTTCACTTGCCTCACTGCTAATGTACCATCATTGCCCTGATTAGAGATTACTAACACATGATATCTAAGGTCAAACATGTTAAATAGTTTAAATAACTGAGTATGATGTGTCACCATTACTAATACAGGCTTTACTCTTTTTAAGTAAACCCAGTCCTGCTGTTGTTTCAGCCTTTTCTTTGGTTGTGCAAATTTGTTGCAATGAAATAAAAAGAAAATATTTTTTTGGATGGTGGATGTTACTTGAAACACTGGAGAAGTGTCAGCTGTTAATGATGGATGGGTGTCCATGACAGGATTAAGATCAATTAAAAACAAGAAGGTTGGGGCAACAAGTCCTATATAACCCTTCTGCTCTTAACCAACCAATGAAATTAGATTCTGATTCCTGAGGAATGGCTTCATTGTGCTGACTAAACTGCACTGCCAAAGCTTGGGAGGTCAGTCTCTCCTTTATGAGCCACTGCTGCCATCTTCTGACCTTAGTTCAAAAGTTACCAGAAAACTATCTGACGAAACTTTTTAAACGTACAAAGATGAAGGATATTTAATCAGATCATGTTTTTCTCACATTTATCCAGATCATCACAAAGTGTTTTGGATTCATGCTTCTGTTCTCATATCGTTCTCGATTTTACTGTTTCATCCTGCAGAACTTGAAAAGCAGCATGTCTACAAGGAGGAGAAGGTTCCTATGGACCAGCATCTCCATGAACAAGAGAATAAATGCAGCCTGGACCATCTGGAACCAAAACCTCCAGTGAGTAAAGAGAAACAAGAGGAATCAGATTCTCCTCTAATTAAAGTGGAGCAAGAGGAATCAGGACCGCCGCTGATTAAAGAACAAGAGGAACCAGGACCGCCGCTGATTAAAGAACAAGAGGAACCAAACTCTCCTCTGATCAAAGTGGAACAAGAGGAAGACCTGCAGCAGGACACTGAATGTGTGACTCCTGGTTCTAAGGAAAGAAACCAGTGTGAAGCTGATGAACCCCATAATAATGAAGCCATCCTCCACTGCCCTCCTGTTCCTGAGGCCAGAGATCCAGCTGCAAGTGAGAACCGAGATCCAGGATCCGAGAAAACTGCAGAGCTGAAACCAAAGAAGAGAAATCCTCAAAAAGGAAGTAAAAAGAAACAAACGTCAAAGAATCCATCCAGTAAATCCAAACAATCAGTCCAGTGTGGCATTTGTAGCAAATTCCTAAACTCCAAGTCCTACTTGAAGGTTCACTTGAGAAGACACACGGGTGAGAGGCCGTTTGCTTGCACTCGTTGTGATAAAAGGTTTTATCAGATGTGTAATCTGAAACATCATGAAAGAAGCCACACAGGGGAGAAGCTGTATTTCTGCAAAATATGTGGAAAGAGCTTCAGTTATCGCACTCCTTTCAAATTCCACATGAAAATCCACTCTGACGAGAAACCGTACCGCTGTGAAACCTGTGGAAATAGCTTCAGAAGCAGCGATAAGTTATTGATACATGTGAGGACCCACACCGGAGAGGAGCCATACCCGTGTGACATCTGTGACAAAAGATTCAAGGAGTCATCAAAGTTAAAACGGCACCGGAGGACCCACACAGGAGAGAAGCCATACAGGTGTGACACGTGTGGGAAAAGTTTCACGGCCAACAGCAGTCTGAGGAGCCACATGAGGATCCACACGGGAGAGAGGCCCTATTCCTGTGAGACATGTGGCCTTTGGTTCAGAAACAACAGCAACTTGACTGTCCACATGAGAATTCACACCGGAGAGGAACCGTACTCCTGCAGCATATGTGGGAGGACATTTAAAGGTTCATCGCATTTGAACATCCACATGAAAAGCCACAAGCTTGATAAAAGTTCTTAGCCTCATGTGATCTCGGCTCAATGATTCGCTCTGAATATTAGAACTGGAAACATTTTAAAGGTCCAATCCAAAATTATTCATACTTCTTAACCACATTTTCCTTCTGATTAGAAGTATTATTAACAAGGGCGTAGGTTTGATTTGAACTTTGGTAGGGACACTATCAGTCGGGTGTCATTGGTGCTATGCAATAT